CTCTGTATCCAACGAGGACGGCGCATCTCTCTCAGTGCCGTAATGGGCTTTGCTTGGCACAGGAATGTGCGCCGCCCGCATGAGAGGACCTTCTCTGAAGTATTCTTCTGAGTGTCTCATTGTGTGTGTGTGCTGCGCCACGATGCGCATGTTGGGCTGCTGCTGCTGTTGGGAGGTGGTCCGTGTGGTGCTGCTCTTCCCCCGGTGAGTGCGGGCCCCGCAGGCCAGCCCACTTGGCTGCTGTAGCTGGCACGTTTCTTTTTCTTTTTTTTTTTGGGGTTGTTGGGGTTTGTTTTTGTGTGGCTCGTTGTGCTCTGCCACTAATGTTTTGTTTGAGTGATGTGTTACTCCTCCAGTTGTCCGTTGAGTTGTGTGGTGCGCTGCTGCTCTCCCCTGCTGTGCTTGTGTACCCCGCTGTGCGTCCCTCCCCCTCTGTAGACCAGTGTGCCTCGGGCTGTGATGATGGCGGCGGTGGGGCGTCCCGCGTTGTTTGTGGTGGCCGTCGCGCTGTGGTGCGTGTGTGGCTGTGCAGCGGCCCCTGATGTGAGTGACAGAAAGCAGAGGAAGGAAGCAGAGGTGCATTTCCTGAATGTGGAGAAGAAAAAAGCTGTGTTGACTTACCTGAATGAGGCAAAGAAGAAGGCGCTAAAGGTTCAGGAGGCGGTGAAGGAGGCCAGGAGTGAGGTGGACGGGATCAAGAAAGAAAAAGCACAAATGATGGCTGAGGTTAACGAGGCCTCAACAGCTGCAATTGAGCTAAATAAAAAAGTGAAGATGGATACCAATCTTCAACGGGAGAATATTGGCATTGTGATTCGCTTGGCAGGTGATGCAGAATCGAAGTCTGACGTGGCTTACGAGTCCTTTGATGCGTTGCTGAAGGGTGTGGCAAAGATACTGAATAAAATATCGGAAGCCGAGAAGTTGGCTGGGGAGTCGGAGCTGGCGTCGAGCGATGCGGCTACCGAAGCAAATACAAACGTCGTCGCCCTTGCAGAGGAGGCATCAGAGAAAGCACAAGCGGTTATGAAATGGTTGTCACAGACACAGGATACCTACAGATTGGCACGGAACAAAGGTGCGTGGAAAGAGTACTCGCGGTATGCAGCGAAAAAGGCTAAAGAATTGTTGCAAAATGCCAAAAAGATAGGTGAAATGTCTTTCTACGGAAACCGTGAAAAGGAGACAGTACAGGAATTTGCTGAGACCTTAGAAGAGTTGGCGGCGAAGGCAGTGGGTGGTGCGGAAAAGGATTTGAATGCTGCCTACGAAATATTTGAACTTGTCAAACAGGTTGCCCCGATCATTGAGTTGTGGCTGAACAAGATAGACATTGCATTGGACGCTGTAGAAAACCCTAAGACTGAGTCAAATCCTTTATCTACATCTGGCAAGCCTTCCCGACTTCCAGTGCCGGCGCCAGAAGCATCACACGGTC